CTTATATTACATCGATACTGTGGCTAATGTATCGATACGATATTTATATCGATACTACAGGATTATACTATGGGTGCTTTCCATTTAGGCTGCGTTCAGTTTAGCACTTACAGAGCTTATAAGTATTATTTGTTCTTGTTTAACATTTGATAAACAAGGATGAAATGACGTGAGCGCTGTAAGCGCCAAAGCGAACGCAGCCTTAGTGACACAAGTCGACACAAACGTCATTCTATCCTTTTTAGCATTTGGTGAGTAACAAAGACAAAACAATACTTGTGTCGGCTTGTGTCATTAAATGGAAAGTATTCACTTCAATTCACTTATCTCAGGGCTGTATTCGGATGTAACGGGGACAGAAATGCTTACCATCTAAAGTTGCATGCGTTCTGAATACGCCCCGATATCCCCGTGTTTACATACATACATATACTGTCAGTATACTGGCAATATTAAAACATTACATTCCGTTATAGCATACTACCAGCATCAATAATAATTATAATATAACGTCATAAACTTCCACCATATTTGCACTGCGATTACTTGTATAGTTTACAATAGCAATAGTATTTGCAATTCAAATCTGGACAGGATGCAAACCAGAATGGAAACTAGATCTGCTTGATGTTGAAATAAATATAATAAATAAAGTAATATATTAAATGAAAAAGATGCACATAAAGCAAGGACTGATAAATAAAAGATATACAGGGTGTTCGGTATTCAATGGTAAAACGCTCGTGGACAGGTAGAGTGGGCTAAACTGAATCGAAAAGTCCTCTACCATTTTGCGATCTTCGCAATAGTTATCAAGATACTAATTATTTAAAAAACATTACGCCAAGTATCTAAAAAAGTATCGTACATTATGTTTTTCCTAAACCATTGGTCATTTAAGTCACTTTAAGCCTGTTTTATGAAATTTAAAATTATTTGAAAAAACAATGGCATTAAACTTTTGCTGCATGTACTTTTGAATGATTTATTTAAAAAATATTTTTGGTTTGGAATAAAATATATTTTTGATTCTATGTCTAATCAAATACTTGGCAACTTGTATGATCTCATATTTGTTTTTGGACAATTTTTATTTGTTAAAATAATATTTTTGGTTTAAGAAAAATGTAATGTACGATACTTTTTTATATACTTGGCGTAATTTTGTTTTTTAAATGATTAGTATCTTGATAACTATTGCGAAGATCGCAAAATGGTACAGGATTTTTCGATTCAGTTTAGCTCACTCTACCTGCCCACGACCAGCTTTACTATTGAATATTGGATATCTTGTATAATTTATGTATATTACTTCTTGTATAAAAGTAATCAATAGTTTAATAATAATATTTGCTTATTAGGCATAAATAATTTATGTATATTTTTATATATAAAGATGTATGTAAGGATGTTTTTTTTTGCAGATTTACAATTTGTTTCAACATTATTGACATAAACAGAGCGTGTGGTATGTATATATTATTATTACAACATATATAACTTAAGTTTTATGTATTTAAAATTAATTTTCGATTTGTTGACTCAATCCGACTCAGAGTTAAAATGGTCTGTTCTTTTTAGCGTTTCTTGCACACTTTAACTATTCTTTTATAGCTAAAAAGAGCAGACCCTCGACTCGGAGTCGGATCGAATTAACAAATAAGAAACGGTTTTGTTATAGCAATATCATCAAGAGAATTAAAATTGTATCAGAATGTAATAATAAAGAAAATAAAACATCAAACAATGAAGGTACTTAAGGTTATTATATTTTGATTTTATTATATAAATATACAGATATATATATATATATATATATATATATATACTGCTCAAAAAAATTATCGCAGTATAAAAATTTACCGTTAATTTGTACAAAAAATCGTAGCGACAATTGCTTAAAGTAGAGATTTCAAGTTTTAATTTAAGAAAAAGTTCATTATCTTACGATGATTTTTTGCGGAGTTATCGTCAGCCAAAGTTGGCAAATTTTTGCCCAAACTTTTTCTATATTCTGCGATAATTTTTTTTAGCAGTATATATCAATGCCGTGCACTGACCCCACTTGACGATTACAGATGATAGTAAAAAGGCCTTCCGCTAATAGTGTTAACAAAAATGTTTTGTCGTTATTATTAGTAAAAAAAAAACTCAATAATACTTTAAGGTGGACACATTAATATTTAAGAAATGATACATTATTTAAATAAAAAAACTTTTAATTATCTTATTGTAACATTAATTATTTATATTATTAGACATTGCTTATCTAATAAGATTATATGATACAAGTTTTTCTAGTCACATTTTTTTTATACTAAATTTTTCTTTAAACTAAATAATAAGATTATAAGATACAAGTTTTTTCTAGTCACGCATTTTTCTTTAGTCTAAATTTTTCTTTAAACTATATTCATCCCTTATAATTCTCTCTTTCTGACTGCTTAGATTTATTATTTAATAAAAAAAAGTGGAAAAGCATAAGGTAAGTGCACAATATTTTTTATTCCACATACGTGCTGTTAGAATAAGAGCAAGAATTGAAAGAAAATTAAAAAATTTTTGGAACAGAATATATAGAACAGAGAAAATTGTAATTATATTGCTTAATTATTAATAAAGACTACTTTGTGTAAACAAATAAAAAAATTTTAAAAATAGTGATATCTTTTGACAAAGATACAAACGGTACAAGAAAATAATCCATATTATAGAACATATTCGAGTTAATGATTTCAATCGGAATCGGAACCGGAACTGGCATCCGAGTCGTATTCCCCGACATTGATGGTGAACTTGTATTCTTGATCACAACCGAGATAAGCATCGCTCATAAAATATAGGGTGTAGGAGTGCTGACCGGGTGCCGGAGCGACGAAATCTAGCTTAATCTTTGCCTTCTGTTGTAACGTCAAGCGCTTGATGGAAAGCAGGGAATTGCTCTTCGGATCGCCAATCACTACCCACCAACCTTCTTCACGTTTTTGCGGGAAGAAAGGCGCGACTACTGGCCCGATCACTTCATCCTCCCGTTCCAGTTGTACGATCACGTTTACCGTACCACCGCTGTGCAATTTGTCTTTCTCTTGTACCTCGTATGACGTCTCAATGTTAGGATACCGATTGCAGAATTTGGCCACGTCTGCCATCTGCACATCCGTTAACTGTAACAACCGATTTCGATCGTCGTCCTCCAACTCCATCACGTCAAATACAGTCTCCACACCCTTGTCGGTGCAGCGCTTGATGGTCTCTGCTGTAAAGTGTGGTAGTTGTTTCAAATAGGAATCCTTGGACCACATCGCCTGTGTCACCATCTGCGCAAGTTCCATAGCAGCGACGGCGGGTGCCAACCATCCAGAGGAGCTCAAGACATCGACACAAGCTTGTATCAGCCTCACGGCCTTGCCTAGCACCAGCTCGGTGTCCTTTTGCAATTCTGGACCTAGCTGTATTCTCGACAAATGAGCTTGTAGAAGAAGTTGCGCCTTCACGTGAGGATCGGCCATTCTAGTAGCCTGTGGCGCGTGAGGTAAACGCGCGGCCAAACTTCTCAGTAAATTCTCTTCTCTTTGTCGCACTGGAACGCTCTCATACTCAGCAGCCGCTGAAATAATCTCCAGTAAACCTCTGATCTTCGTCTTGTTGTTGAGAGATAGACTGAACAATTCGATAGTGGCGTAATTAATATAGTAATAAGCGGCGATCATTCCAAGGTTGAGTGGCAAGGTATCCATCTCGTCTTCCACGGCGACACATTTAGCTTGTTCTAAGTCGGTCAATGTGCTCTCGACCAGCTCGGACAAGTGATCCGAGAGGTGCCGATGCGTGACGCCTTGCAAGCCGTAGTAATTGGGATTTTGAGTAAGTCGTCGGTACAGGAAAGTCCACGTGAGATAGTCGACCGCGTCTTGTTTGTTTTCAATTGTTTTCGTCACAATTTCTGCGTTGAAATGATCGTGCAGCCGGCGATCCAAGTGACTCTCCACCGGTAGCGGTTCATTCAAAAACTTTTTGAAAAAATCTTTTTTCGAGCTTTGACACAGGAGCACGCACTTGGCATCCTCATCTTCTAGCGGCCGATTAGCTCGAGCCACCATCTGCAGAACGTCCGTAATCGGGTAATCCTCATAGGCATGCGTTTTGCCGTTATAACATTGCGTGTCCATGACCACGACGAGATGGGAGCTGATAGATAAGCCCCAACAGAGATCTCTCGTGGCGACCGCCACTTGGATAGCTCCGCTGTCAAATAATTGTTCGACTAAACGACGATCGTCAGCTGATAAACCCTCGTGAAGATAAGCAACGCCTTGCGATAGAGTTTCCTTCAGCGTTTTGTCGGTCATTCGATCGAGGAATGGTTTGATATCAGCCTCTTCCGCATGGAAGAATCTCGAGGGTTGACCCTCAGCCGCCGTGAACGTCAGCAAGTCAATAGCCGTTAATCTTGCCTGTCGACGAGTGGGCACAAATACGATCACTGGTTTGTGTGCAGCGTGCCGGAGAATTGCGTTATACACCGGTTTTGCCATTGCAGCTAATCTTGACGCATTGTGAGTGACATTTATCCCCTGTACGTGCAACTCCAAAGGTACTGGCCGTACAGACGGGTGGAAATTGAAAGTTGCCGCTGCCGGAGCGCCCAACCATTGTGCAGCATCTTTGGCATCAGCCAATGAGGCCGATAACGCTATAATCCTGGTGGGTTTGTCAAGTTGCGAGGAGATGTAACGCGCTCGTGAACATGCAACTTCCAGCACAGGACCCTCTTCGCCGCCGATCAGTTGCAGTTCGTCTACAATAAACAGCTGGATGTTTTGCACGTTTTTCCGTTGCTTCCACCTACGTGACAACACGTCCCATTTATCCGCCGTGGTGATAATGATCTGTCCTTTGGCCAGTAACTTCAAATCTGTCCCCGTTTCACCGCTCAGTAGAACAACTTTTCTTCCCAGTTGTTGACCGAATTTTGCTGCCCAGTCGGCATAGACCAATTCAGCTAAAGCTTCTTTGCTCACCATATACACGCATCGTCCTTCCGGATTCTGCGTTAATAATCTTAACACTGCAAATTCCGCGATGGTTGTCTTTCCTGAACCTGTGGGCGCTCCAACAAACACATTATCGTCGGAATTATAGATCGCATTGAACACCTGCGTCTGGATTGGGTTGAATTGTGGAAAATCAGAATAGATATTCTCGAATTTAGTGTTTCGCAACGCTGTTATCGGCAGCGCCTGCAGATCTAGCAGTTCCGTAGGTGGTAAATTTTTCTCGGGTAATATCAGATGTCGAAAGCTTACGGGCAATTGTGTCTCCGCGCCGATCCATCGATCGGATACTACACGCAAAAAGTACTGTGGCGGCAGAGGTTCGAAGACTGGCACGAAGAACTTAATTACATGTTCGTCAGCCGCATATTTGGCCTTCAGCAAGAAATACTCGTGATGCAATATCACCTCCGAATCTACGTCTTCGACTAAAATCCAAAACGCCTCCGACATACCGTGGATCTTCTCGTCCCACTGGAAATCCGGCGTGATAGTTAGGACAACTCTTAGGGTAGAACGCGTGATCGGCTGAATATGCGTCGACAGGCCCAGCTTTGGAAACTGGTGGACATATTTATGAATAGTCTTGCCTAGCTTCGGCACGCGGATCAATTCGCCGATCTCATTGGGCCCCAAATCGTACAGCCTCTCCCACGGGAAGTTCTTTTTCTCGATTTTCTTCACAATCTCTTCCGGCATCTTGCGAAACTGTCTGAGCGGCGACATCGATTGCCACATCCTGCGATCGATCATTTTGCAGATAGACAGACATTTATCCGCCAATTGTGCCCAACCACGGAACAGAACTATCTCAAAGATTGCTCTCATGAGACGTGAGGCAGACTGCGTCACGAACACCATATCGGACATAAGGGCAAATCCCTCGAGTTTCAGCTGCGAGATATACGCTTGTAATAGCACATTCACTTTCGCACTTGGTTCCTCGATGTTTTCCTTCACTGGTATCGGCACTCTTTCCATCAGCTTTTGCAACTCTAGCTTCTCTTCCTCTCTGACATTTATATTTTTGAACTCGCCCGACTGTGAGAACACCCGAAACAATTCTATCTCGCTCAGCGTGCGCTTCAGCAACTGATTGTACGTAGACATCGTTTCGTGAGTGCAATAATAATGAGATGCTATTCTGCCCAACTCGGTCGCTTGAAAATTGCCGGACTTGCGATCGTATTTGATTAAGCCACTGCGATCTAATCCGACTGCAGCCGAATGGATTAGATCAGCTCTGTGCAGCTCCAATAAAGGATCTTGCCTCAATTTGTCGTAACTTATCCCATACAGATTCGGGCAGCGAAGCATCCTAATGTAAAGATAAGTATAACCGAGCCAGGTAACTGCATCTCTAATATTTTGGATCGTTCCTAGCACCACCTCCGCGTTCAACATGTCGGACATCTTGCTGATTAATTGAGATTCGATGGGTAATTGTTGATTTAAAAGCGACAGATAATACTGCAGCTCGCTATGATTAGTGATGAGGATACCCTCACCTTTAGTGTCATACTGCGGTCGACCGGCTCGTCCTAACATTTGCAGCACATCTAACGCGCCCAACTCTACCCATCTACCCTTCTCCGGGTTGTACACCTGAGTACCCTTGATAATAACCGTGTGAGCTGGCAAGTTGACACCCCAGGCTAAGGTTGCTGTAGATACGAGAACTTGTATGTGTCTATCGGCGAAGAGATCCTCCACGAGCGTGCGATCCACACGAGTCATACCGGCGTGATGAATCGCAAAACCATACGGCAGCAGATCTTTAAGCTCCTGATTTTTCACTTGCTCTGCTTCCGTTCTTAAAACCTCCATCGATGCGGAGCCTTCCCTGAGGAACTGACCCAGGGTATCCTTCTCCAGACACATGTCTCGAATAGCGCGCGCCGTTTTTCCGGTTTCTTTACGCGAATGCACGAATATCAATACCTGATTCCTGCCAGCGTGTTCCATGGTCTTCTCGTAGACAATCTCATTCATCACCTGGAAGCGCTTCAGTGCTTTTTTCTCGGTAACGCCGATATATTGCTGTTCTAAAGCTACAGGTCGGAAACTGTTGTCAAAGTAGAACAATCCCGTCTCCGGTTTAATACGCAAAAATGCTGCAACGTCCTGATAATTGGGTAATGTGGCCGATAATCCGACAAGACGTACGTCCTCTTGAGTAGTTTCGATGTTTCGTATCGTTCTTGCGACTAGTGCCTCTAGAACAGGCCCTCTCTCGTCATGCAATAAGTGAATCTCATCGATGATAATCAATCGTACTAATGACGTAAAAGTTTTCTCGCCACCCTTTCTTGTTATAATATCCCACTTCTCCGGGGTACATACTATCACCTGAGTAGCGGCAATTTGCTCTCGCGTTAACTGATGATCGCCGGTCAATTCGGAAACAGTCAGATTGTATGTTGACAATCGCTTACGGAAATTGCCAACCATTTCTTGCACCAGCGAACGCATCGGAGCGACATAAATTACTTTGAATTCATCTGCATTGATTGTACCATCAGCATTTATGTGCTTTCCAATTTCCCGCATCATGCACAGCAGAGCCACGTTGGTTTTACCAGCTCCTGTTGGAGCACACAGCAGCAGATTCTCATCGCTCTCCAATGCTGTCTGATACAAACGACTTTGTATACGATTCAGAGTCTTAAAGCCCTCGAAAGCAGGTTGCACATATTTGGGCAATTGCTCAATTGGATGTAGTTTTTCATTTTCTGCGAACGGTTTCGGCTTTAGAGCAGGAACGTGAACTTCCTCGTATCTGTAAATATTACCAAATAATCGTAAATTAAGATGACAAATATATTATAGCAAAAATTTAAAGAAAAAAGTGTTATTTATTTTAGAATCACATTTACAAAATAATTTTGTATAAAAATATTATTTTTAATTTTTTTACAACTTTATGTAAAAAATAATACCTATTAAGTTTTGTAAAAAAATTTTTTTAACACACTCGCAGATGTAGGAAATGTTTAATAATATAGTAGTAGGTTTTTATATTTTAAGTTTATTTAAATTAATTATAATGAATTTTAACAGTTAATTTTAAATTAAACATTAAACAGTTTTATTTATGTATTTTTGGCATAGAATACGAAAAAATTAAAATAAATTGTCGCTTTTCAAAGTATATCAAAACAATGAAAATTATATGATACTTTAGTACGATATTTTATTTGCAAATCTTGTAGAAATCCTTTATATAAGTGTTTTCAGCTATTTTCAAAAGTATATCATATGATAAAAAAATATTAAATTATAATTTTATGTAAAAATATTCAATTAATTTTATTTTTACAGGTAAAAATGTTCAATAATAATCTTCTTAGAAACCGAAACTTATTATCATAATAATGCTACATTCAAAGAAAAATTGATATATTGAAATATTGAAATAAAATTAATAGAATTTTTATTCGCATCAATACAATACCGTTGTAAGTAATGCTTTAATAATTTAGAAATTAATTCAAAGTTAGATTAAATACTAAAACACCACACACTTTTCTGTAATTTAAATAAACATTTTCTAGCAAGAATACCAACTGGAGATAGATAATTTCATGGATAAAAATGAAAAAAAAATTGTGTACATCTACGCGTGCGTTCTTATAAATATATAAATTTGTATATATAAATATAAATATATAAATAAAATATGTAATTTTATTTTTGTCGGTCTCAAATTTGAATAAAAAAAGAATATCGTCATTTATATTATTGTTTAATCATTTTTCCAAGAAAACAATTTTTAATTCGCTCCTAATTAATTATCAATATATTTGATACAAATCGAATCTAGAAATACAAAATAATTAACAAAGAGGATTAGTTAAAAAACAATAACTAAGTAATTCATTATTGTATTCAAGTTCTAAAATTTTTCACATAATTATTAAACTTTTTTATAATAAATATAATGAAAGATATATCTAATTAACAATTTACAATACAATATTATTCGCATTTGGTGTTTAATCTAATTAAATTAAATTTTAAATTATTGAAACATAATAACTTACAGTAATTTCGTAACAATGTGAATAAAAATTCTATTAACTTTATTTCAATATATTAATTTTTCTTTGAGGGTAACATCATTATAATGCTAATTTTTATAAGTTTCTAAAAAGAAAAATACATAAGAAAATGTAAGAAATAAAATGATCCCCAAACGAAACTCCTTAAAAGTTATGTCTCCTTTTAAAAGTTTTTTTAAAATTTTTTATATTTTTCATGTTTATAATTTGATAATCTCTTTATTAGAATTTTGAACAGATAAGTTTCTTTTAATATCAAACAAATAGTTAATATAATATTTTAAAGTAAATTTTATAGCTTTTATTTTTATTTTAATGACTGAATTCTGCGACAATCAGCTATAGATTTGAAGAAGTTTATACATTTTAGGTAATTTTGGAAACACGAGAAATGTTGAGTTCATCTTTTTTCTTACTCAATTTTTGCTGAATAAAAATCGTAATTAAAATTGTCTTAGTATCCGGAAAATATTTTTTTTCACATTTTAAACAGAAAAAAGTAACGGTTGATTTTGGCATTTTGTTGAACCATGTCTGCATATTTTTCTTTATTTTCATAAAAGTATTCAATGTTTTCTCAGCCTTCATTTTTTTCTTATCAGGGCTTGACAATCTGCAAGTTACCTTAAGTTATACCATATATTTTAACTTTTACATTGAAATATCTCGAAAGTATAAATGATGCGAAAAAATATTTTAGATAAGTTATATGGGTTTGAAGGGGAACAAATAATGGTAAAAATAATTTTCCAAAAAATCAATTTTTTTAAATTATATAAAGGGTACCCTCATTTTTTAAAAAATATGCAATTTACAAAAAGAACTACATATTTTTTTAAAAGCAACTGAGTGTTTTCTGTACACGTACTGATTCATCTCATTATTTTATGCATAAAAGTATTAGGTAGGTATAATTATCAAGAAATCAATAGTTTATACGATATTTCATATTTTATGTCAAAATATGGTAAAAATATCTCATAATAAAGTATAAAATATCTCGTAAACTATGAAATTTTAGCTTTACTTTAATATTTTTATATGCAGAATAATGTAAGGAATCATACTATGTAAAAAAAATGATATAATTTCATTTAAAAAACCCTTTATATGACCTTGAAAAATTGATTTACTTTGAAAATTATTTTTACCATTATTTGTCCTTCTTCAGACCGTGTAACTTTTATCTGAAACATTTTTTCACACCTTTTATATTTTTCCAAATATTTCGATGCAAAAGTTAAATTGTGTACATAACTGAAGGTAACTTACAGATTCTCAAGCTTTAATGAGAAAGAATGAACACTTAAGTAACATCGAAACACATTTTATATAGAAACAGAAAAATTCACAGACATGGTTCAACAAAGTAATAAAATCAACCGTTGTTTCTTTCTGTTTAAAATGGAAAAAAATATTTTTCGAACTTTCTAGAACAATTTTAACTACAATTTTCCGAGTCAAGCGAAATTAAGTAAAAAAAAGACGAACCAAACGTTCCTCGCGTGCTTTCCAAATGCCTAAAATGCATGAACTTTTTTATTGTATCTGGCTTCCATTTTAGAAAGGTGAAAAATATTATCGGCTGCGAAAGTGTTAAGATAAAATATATACTTTTTTTTACATTTTTTAAAACAGATTACATTCTACTCACCCTTTTCGCTGTTTTCGGAAACTTCCGTCTGGTAATTGGCAACGCTTGTTAGCCATGAAGTGACTTCCTTGGGCAAATATTAAATCCTCCAAATCTATCAAGTTTCTTGTACCTTGAACCTGTCCCCCGGGTCCACCGGTATCCTCGTTCTCTTCTCGTCTTTTGCGTTGCGATCTCGCTTCCATTGTTTCGTCAGCGTCGTCCTCCCCTTTACCCGTGTCTAATTGCCGCAAGATTTTGGCGAGTACCGGATTATCGTTCATTTTGTTTCGGATCTTTTGTCTTTCTGATTCAGACTGCGATGAGGCCAACATCGTGCAGTATGCAACTGTAAATTTTACAAATAGTTCATATTTTAAAATTATACCTTTTCTTTCATAATACGTGAATATAAAAAAAAACTGTAATATAATAAGAATTTGGTTACGTATGCAATTTTATCTATATAAACAACAATAAGTAATCCTAAACCGATACAACACATACAAACAAGGAACTACCTTTTTTTCTTACCTGTATGTCTATATTTTTTAAGCTGTTTAATGAAGTCGAAGCAATCGTAGCCTAATAAAAGCACAAGCTGATTCTCGCATTCACGATCATCAGCAGCATTTTTCAAAACAGCTAATACTTCAGCAGCTCTCGCTTGCGATACCATAGCATCATCATATATCCTACTTAATCTTCTTTGCAACCAATATGCATCTACATCCAATGGATGTAACGGTTTTTCCTTTTTCATCTCTTCAGTTCCACCGAGCTGAAAGATATACAACAATATGTATAAATATTCTATGTTATATATATTATTCTGCGAAAGCAAATTACTGCTTAATTGAGCATAAAAAGATGTAGCTCTGTTTAACATTGATTGGCTCATGATGAGTCCCATATATTGTTCGATCTTGAACGATCCTTCATCATGTATATATCTTAATTTTATAAAAAATGTATTGGAGAATTGAAGATCATAATTTAAAGAAAAATAAATGAAATAAAATGGTATCCAGTGATATCTGGCTAGCCAATTCAAGAACAATTCCAGGACATTTCAGGTAAAAATCCTGGTTGTTTTAGGTCGATTAATTTTCATTACTTAATTAATTTTTATTGATATGCGCAATATTACATATTTTGTATTCAAATTAAGATTCTATATGACGAATCAATTAAAATGCGAACAAATTTAGAGCAATATTATTTATTGCTTTACAAATCGCGTGCCTTATTTTATCTTTAAAGGAGAGCTTATACAGCCATAAACTTTTTCCAAAAACGTTACCGATGTTATCAACATAGTTTTTGACACAAGCAAGAAATATTTCTAATTTTTTTTATTATTTTACGATTCAATTCTTTTTTAGAATAAAAGAATGACAAAACTTCAAGATCAATTCAGAAATTCCAGGGATTTTCCAGGAATTTTCCAGGACATATTAAATTCTATATTAATTTCAGGATTCAAGAACATTCAAGGATGCTGGAAATCATAAATAATCCCTAAATAACCTGTTTTAAAAACCTATATTTCAATAAGACTAAGCAAAACTTACGTTTTCCGCATGAATAGCCCTGTCGTCGTTAGCTTCTTCACCTTCATCTCCTTCGTCATCATTTTCTCGAACCTCTCCATATTGATCCTCATCATCCTCCTCACTACTCTCCTCAAACTGCACATTGATCCCATACATTGTTTCGTCAATATTTTCATCATTTGTTGTACTTTTTTCGTCATTACCATAATCCGTGATCTTCTTGCCGAGGTTTACAAGCAGGGCAAATCTCTCTTCTGCTAATGAACCGAGTAAGGATTCCGTTTCTTTTTTCTTTTCTTTCTCCTTAGCACGGTCGTTTTTCAACACTTGCAATACTTCGTCAGCTGCACCACAAAGGATATCGCGTGGTTGATCACCCAAAGCTTCTTGTATGAAACTGAGCAATACCTCGTAAGTTTGACGTGTCTCTTGTGTCTTTGGACGATATTGTATACCAACCATTTCATCCACACCTTCGGATAACAATGTTGCTCCTTTCATACGTGCAAAGTCATATTGTGCTTCATCCCGTTTTTGCCGTCTGTCATCAAAAAAATACCAAATATTAACTTTGTATAATTGTCATATAAAGAATATAATTTCTTTATTGGATCATAATAAAACGCTTTTTATAAAACTAAAAAAATGGAAACTATATTAAAACCAGAGTTGGATAAGTTAATATTTTTTTTTAACTAACTTTTTTAACTTAAATTAAAGTTAACAGTCTTAAAAATTTAACTAGTTAAGATACAAGTTAGCCCATAATAAAATTAATTGAATTAAAACTTAATAAAAAAAAGTAATTGAAAAGTTAGTTAATTTTTTTTCATTTTATAATTTTAGGGTTTCTAAATGAAGTTTCTAAATAAAGTGTATATTTGTTATACTTATTTCTATGAAACCGCGGAAAGAGGACCGATTTCGAAGAACTTCTTCCAACGAGATTTATTACATAGAAGGTCTGCGAACAGTGATTCCTTCCCGCTGCCAGACTATATTTATTACATTATTACAATTTTCTTAACGTGTGTTCTCAAATTTGAGTTTGAAGACACCAATGTAGACATGTATTTTATTTTGGATTTACAAGAAGCAGTAAAAATGTAACTTCAAGAAAGTTAGATCAAAAGTTAAAAAGGGGTTACATCATCCTGGAGGCCCTAAAATGATACCTAAGTTTGGGATTTTTTTATGGGTAAACAGATAACTATTACAAAATTACTTTAAGGACATTGTTATACATATATAATAAAGTAAAAAAAATATTTTTTTATTTTTTTAATATTCAAAATGGTGGCACACTGGCCTACTTGCCAAATGCCTTTTTTTCTAAATTTTGAAATTGGTGTACAAGATTGCAGGCACACAATTTGATCTTGAACAAAATACAAAGAA